AACTGAAATCAGGTCCTCTGTAAGAGCAGCAAGTGTTCTTAACTGATAAGCACCTCTCTAGCCCTAATTCATCTTTTAAATTTTATTTATTTATTTACTTATTTATTTTTGATGTTTTTGAGACAGAGTGTCCCTGTAGCCCTATCTGGCCTGGAACTATTATAGACCAGGCTGGTCTTGAACTCATAGAGATCCAACTGCCTCTTCCTCCAAAGTGCTGGGATTGAATGCCTGCACTACCACATCCATTTACCTTTTAAAAAAAAAAAAATTTTTTTTAGCTGGTGTGGTGGCATATGCCTTTAATCCCAGCACTCAGGAGGCAAAGGTAGGTGGATCTCTATGAGATCCAGGGCAGCCTGGTCTACATAGGAACTTCCAGGCCAGCTGGAGCTAAAAGGAAACGCTGTCTCAAAAAAACAAAAACAAAAAAATATCCTCGGCACCCACATCAGGCATCTCACAACCACCTGTAACTCCAGCTCCTACCCTCTTCTGGCTTCTGCAAGCTTCTACAGACACAGGGTGTACATAAACTCAGACAAGCACACACATACATACATATAAATGTAATACCTTCAGAGAAATGCCAGGCAGTTTTTGATCAAATCAAAAGTCCTTTATTAGCAGAAAGCCAGCAGTAGAGAGGGGCTATCACCAGAAAACTCTCAACCCAGAGGAGAAACAGGACAGGGTTTAAAAAGCCTAAAACCATAATTACATTATGCCAGGGGCAAAATCAATAACCATAGTTACATCAGATCATCATAGTTACACCAGACCAGGGATAGGTCAACTAACAAAGAGGTTTTCAGTTAACAAAAGTTTCTAAGATTCAGTTAGGAAAAACAAGTTTCTTAAAATTTCAGAAACAATGGGCTCCCTGGAAATGCTGAGAGGGGACGTGCTACATGACTAGTTTTAAGTTTCCCAGTATTATAGAAGCAATGTACTGCCTGAAACTGCCTGCATGAGATGTTCTCCTGGCTTGGGGTTGGGGGGATGGACAGAAACACAGGGTAAAGCAAAAATCAGGTAGAATAAAATGAAGTCAGTTTTGCCATTCCAATAAAAATAATAAATAAAAATTTTTTAAAAGATGAATTTTCTTTTTTAACATTTTTTTCATTAAGCTTTTTAAATTTCATAATTTCCACTCAAATCCAGATCCCCTACCCATCCATGCCTCTCCTTATCCCCCCACCAAACCCTAGGTTTCCTAGCTCCCAGATTCACTCATCTCCACTCTTTTTTCTCCCATCTGGCTTCCCTCCTCCCTCCCTCCCTAGTCACAGTGCCCCTATTATCCCCACCCTCCTCCCAATACCTCCCAACTCCGGCCATCTTTCCTCTTCTGACTTCCCTCCCTCCCCCACACCATGGTCCCTTGCATGTCCCTCCCTCCTCGCATCCCTGATGATTACTCCCACTTTTTCTACCTCCCTCACATAACATCTGTTCCCTACCTTTACCTCCATGTATCCTTTCCCTTTCCCTGGCTCCTGGTGTTACATCAGAATTTATATACTCACACATAAGGGATTGGTGCTATGATCCACAAATGAGGGAGAGCATATGTCGCTTGCTTTTCTGTGTTTGTTACTTCACTTAGAATAACACTGAAAATTTCATACTTTCATCTTTTCTTACTGCTGAATAGAACTCCATTGAGTAGATTACATTTTCATTAACCATTCATCAGTTGAGAGACATTTACATTGTTTCCATTTCTTAGCTATTAAAAGAACAGCAACAAACATGGATGTACAGGTATCTCTATAGTACAATGAGTCCTTTGGGTATATGCCAAAGAGTGATATCACTGGATCATATAGTAGGTTTATTTTTAACTTTTTGAGGGTTCTCCATACTGCTTTCCATAGTGGTTGCACAAGTTTGTATTCCCACCAGCAGTGAATGAGTGTTCCTCTTTCTCCATATCCTCTCCAGCATTTGGAGTCTTTCATTCTCTTGATCTTTGCCAATCTGCCAGGGTAAGATGGAATCTTAGGGTGGTTTTTAATCTGCATTTCTCTAATTTCTAAGGATGTTGAGCACTTTTTTTTTTTTTTTTTTTTTTGAGACAGGGTCTCCCTGTAGCCCTAGCTGTCCTGGAACTCACTATGTAGACCAGGCTGGCCTTGAACTCACAGAGATCTGCCTGCCTCTAGCACTTTTTAAGGTGCTTCTTAGCCATTTTTCTTTCTTCATTTGAGAACTCTCTGTTTAGGTCTATCACCCATCTTTTTTATTGGGTCATTTATTTTCTTTCCTTTTTTTTTTTTTTTTGAGTTCTGAGTTCTTTATATATTCCGGATATTAGTCCTCTGTTGGATGTGTAGCTGGTGAAGATTTTCTCCCACTCAGTGGGTTTCCTCTTCCCTTCTTTTGTTGTTTCTTTTGCTGTACAGAACTTTGTAATTTAATGAGGTCCCACTTACTGACTGTTGACCTTAGCACCTGACCAGCTGGTATCTGATTTAGAAAGTCCTTTCTGTGGGGTCTCTCCCTCCGCTCGTGGGTCATTGGCCACTGGTCCATGAGGACAAAGGGAGCAGAAGCGACGAATGGGGTCAGGACGGCCAGTGAACACTGATGGAAGAAAGCCCTTCCAGGGAGGCAGATTCAATGATACAAACAGCTCCAGATTCAGTGAAACAGCTCCAGATTCAGTGAAACAGGTCCACATTCAGTGAAACAGCTCCATTTATTCAGTGGGAGAACTAGGGAAAATATAGTGTGGAGGCAGCAGCCAAAGCCTCAGCTGATAGGTACTCATAGTATGCTTTATTTACATGTGGCAGGGGGATCCTATCATCTGACTATAGGGCAATGCCTAATTATCATATAGAAAAAACCTGGGGGTAGTTTTATTGCAGGTAACTATGCCAAAGGTCATGTTCTGAATAAGGTCAGGCATCCTGTGCTTGGAGGCATTTTCCAGGTAAGTCAGGCAAGAAGCCCCTGCTGAGAAAGGAGCTGACCTTAACAGCAGGGTTCCCCAACACTTTCTTATACCTATGTCTTGAAGGGTGCTGCCTATGTTTTCTTCTAGCAGTTTCTGAGTTTCAGGTTTTATGTTGAGGTCTTTGATCCATTTGGAGTTGGCTTTTGTGCAGGGTGAAAGATAAGGGTCAAGTTTCATTTTTCTGCAGGTGGAGATCCACTTTTGCCAGCACCATTTGTTGAAGATGCTATCTTTCCTCCATTGTGTGTTCTTAGCACCTTTGTCAAATATCAGGTGGCTGAAATTATATGAACTCATGTTTGGGTCTTCCAGTGTGTTCCATTGATTTACATGTCTATTTTTGTGCCAGTACCATGCTGTTTTTATGACTACAGCTCTGTAATATAATCTGAGATAAGGCATGGTGATCCCCCTCCCCAGGCATTTCTTTTTGCCCAAGATTATTTTGACTATCCAGGGTCTTTTGTGATTCCATATGAATTTTAGGATGGTTTTGTCAAGCTCTGTGAAGACTGTTATGGGTATTTTGATTGGGATTGCACTGAATCTATAAATTGCTTTTGGTAAGATGGTCATTTTCATAACACTGATTCTACCAATCCATGAGCATGGTAGTGATGGAATCAAACTAAAGCCCGGAGTCCCCCAGACCAAAGTAAAGAAAAATATTCTGGGAAGCTGTACAAGGAAGTAAGATGTAAAATAATTCTAAACTGCTGAGAAAGAAACTGACCTTTTCATGCTCTCTGCACCGGTTGCTGAAAATCATCCAAATCCCCCCTCCCACCTCTGCTTCTTGGCTCAGTAATCGCTTATGATTTATGGTTTTTGCCTTTTAAAAGAAGCTTGTAATCTGTGCTCAGGGCTTCTGCTCTCTGAGCTAGAGGTCCGTCTGTGCATACGTAATAAATCCTCTTGCTTATTGCATCTTCTGGTCTGAGGACTGACTTATTGGGGTGTGACCTCCCGTGAACGTTGGGTACCCCAGGACCGGGGGTCCAACATTTGGGGGCTTGTCCGGGATTGAGTCGCCCCCAGACTCATTTCCTTAGATCAGCAGGAGGTAAGGATAGATGTCTTGTAGTTTGTCTTGATTTAATGTCTGTCTGTCATTTCCTGTTTTGGGAACGTTCTGTCTGAACATTTGTGCCTGTGCAGGACCTGTAAGTCTGTGTTCTGGGAATCAGCGGGAGTGGCAGATGTGCCCAGGGACCCCTGGTTCCAACACTCTGATCTTTGTGACCAGAGTGGTCTGGAGTGGGGAGGACAGCAAAGCTTTCCTTTCCTCACCCCAGGAGAAGAAGGGAGATTAGCTTAGCTACTCCCCTCCCAGTCTGTACTTTCAGTTTTGAGTCAAGAAGCCGCGGCAAGGATTTTTGTTTTGTGTTTGTCTGTGTTTGTGTTTAAGGATCCTGAGAGTAAAATAGTTAGTAAAGTGTGTGTCTGGATGAAAGAAGGACCGGTCCACATGAATGTGATTTAATGAGGTGTATGTGCGTGCCTGATGGTGTGTTAATATTTTAAAAGGGGAAGGTCTGGTTTTGTATTTTTCTCTACATTTTCTATTTTAAACTTTCCCTTCTTTCTTCTTTTTCCTTTTATTCTCAGTCTAAGTCTTCGCGAGGGACCGTTAAAGGCGAAGGAGCAACTGAGGTTTTCTGGTCAGGGCCACTCCCTGATGTAAGCCAAAGGCTCCTAGCCCTCTTAGCGGACCCCGACTGCCCACACGGGTGGAGACAGGATGACTTTTCTGTATCTCCCTTTCCTCTCTTCATTTCTCCCTCTGGCCACTGAAAAAGCCCCGCGGGCACGGGTCGAGCAAATAAGAGCCACAGGGCGCTCGCCACTAAAAGACTCCCGTCGAAGGATAAGGGGGTCCCAGGCGTGAATCCCAGATAAATTCACGTCCCCCGCAGAAGAAAAACTGGGCAACGATAGGTACTTGTCCACAAGCACACCCACTAGTAATTATTGTTTGGAGTGGCATCTGTATCTCTCTCTCTCTCCCCCCTTCTTTTCTGTGACCTCCACTATGGGTCAATCACTAACTACCCCTTTAAGTCTAACTCTGGAACATTGGAAGGAGGTTGTGGAATGGGCTCATAACTTATCATTAGAGGTCCAAAAGAAAAAGTGGCAGAGTCTCTGTTCCTCTGTATGGCCCTCTTTTGAAAAAGGATGGCCAAGGGATGGGACTTTTGACCTTGCTACTATCTTGCAGGTTAAAGAATATATTTTCCACCCAGGACCACACGGACACCTGGACCAGGTGGCTTACATAGTCATCTGGGAAGACTTAGCCTGGAACCCCACATCTTGGGCACGGCTGTTCCTACCTCCCTGGGGAACCAGGGAGACTGATCAAGGGCCTCCTCCTCCTTCTGCTCCCCCGAGTCTCACTTCCTCTCTCCTACCCCTTCAGTCTTCCCCTGAAAAGAAGAAACAAAAGCCAGTCCTCCCCGAGGACCAAGCTTCCCTAACCCTCCTCGATCCTCCACCTCCCTATCCACCTGCGCAGGCACCTCCACCCCAAGAACTACCTCATCCCTCTCCTGATTCCACTGAACCTGACCAAATCCCCCCCGCTATCTAGCAGACTCCCCCTGAGGAGAGATAGAGGGGGCCCCTCTGATGGAACTTGGACTGCCCAGGTTTTTCCTCTCTGAACTGTAGGGGATCAGATCCAGTATTGGCCTTCTTCAGCCTCTGACTTGTATAATTGGAAGACCCATAACCTCTCTTTTTCTCAGGATCCTCAGGCTCTAACTGCTTTGATTGAGTCTATTCTTCTTACCCACCAACCCACCTGGGAGGATTGTCAACAACTCCTCCAGGCACTCCTAACTACAGAGGAGAGACAGCGAGTCATCCTGGAGGCCCGGAAAAACGTCCCCAGGCAGGATGGGAGACCCACTCTGCTCCCAAATGAAATAGACGCAGGATTTCCTCTGACCAGACCCAACTGGGACCCTGAAACCGTAGCCGGTAGGGAGTGTCTCCGTCTTTATTGCCAGACTCTGTTATCAGGTCTCAAAGGGGCTGGAAGGCGCCCAACCAATTTGGCAAAGGTACGTGTATAACCCAGGGGGAAAATGAAACCCCTGCTGGGTTCCTAGAACGTCTGATAGAGGGATATCGAATGTACACCCCTTTTGACCCCACAGCCCAGGAGCGTCAGGCAGATATAATTATGGCCTTTATAGGACAATCAGCTCCTGACATCCGTAGTAAGCTCCAACGGCTGGAGGGCCTTCAGGGGTACTCTTTACAGGATTTAATAAGAGAAGCTGAGAAAATCTATAACAAGTGAGAAACTTTAGAGGAAAGAGAGGACAGAATCAGAAAAGAGCAGGAAGCTAGAGAGGATAAGAGAGAGAGAAAGAGAAATAAAGAGTTAAGTCGAATTTTGGCCACAGTAGTTCAGGGAACAGGAACAAGACCAGGACTAGGTAGGGACCTGGGAGACAGAAGAAGGCCCTGAGTGGATAAAGACCAGTGTGCTTATTGCAAGGAAAAAGGACATTGGGCTCGAGAATGTCCAAAGAAATTAAACAGACTTCAAAAGAAGACGACCCCAGTCCTGACTCTAGGGAACTAGGGGAGTCAGGGGCAGGAGCTCCCCCCTGAGCCCAGGGTAACTTTGAAGATAGGGGGGCAATTGACTACCTTCATGGTAGACACAGGAGCTCAATATTCAGTTCTGACAGCAACCGAGGGACCCATGAGTTCCAAAACAGCCTGGGTCCAAGGGGCCACCAGAGGAAAAATATATAGATGGACCACCAAAAGAAAAGTGGACCTCAATACAGGACGGGTCTCTCACTCATTCTTACTGGTCCCCGACTGCCCATATCCCCTTCTTGGGAGAGATTTACTCTCTAAGCTGGGAGCTCACATCCACTTTACTAAAAAGGGAGCTACTGTAGAAGGAAAAGATGGAGCTCCACTACAGGTATTAACCCTGCAGCTGGAAGATGAACATCGGTTATATGAGGGACTGATAACAGAAGCTCCTGGTATAACTGATTGGCTAAGTAAAATCCCCTCGGCATGGGCCGAGACAGGAGGCCCAGGACTGGCATGCAACCAGCCTCCAATAGTGGTCACACTAAAACCATCTGCAACCCCGATTTCAATTAAACAATACCCTATGAGCAAAGAGGCCCGAGAGGGTATCAGGCCCCACATTCAAAGACTTTTACAAATGGGCATACTTCGCCCCTGTCAATCCCCTTGGAACACCCCACTGCTCCCTGTAAAGAAGCCAGGAACAAATGACTATCGACCAGTCCAAGACTTAAGAGAAGTTAATCGAAGGATAGAGGATATACACCCCACTGTTCCAAATCCTTACAATCTCTTGAGTACCTTGCCTCCCAGTCACAGGTGGTATACTGTACTTGACCTGAAGGATGCATTCTTCTGCCTAAGGCTGAGTGCAGTTAGCCAGCCCATCTTCGCTTTTGAATGGAAAGATCCTAAAGCTGGAATATCAGGACAACTAACCTGGACACGACTACCCCAAGGATTCAAGAAGTCTCCTACTTTGTTTGATGAGGCTCTACACCGTGATTTGGCTGACTTTTGGGTAAGAAACCCACAGATTATGCTCCTCCAGTATGTGGATGACCTCCTCTTGGTGGCCGAGACAGAAGCTGACTGTCTGCAAGGTACAGAGACTCTCCTATTGAGACTGGGGGAAATTGGATATCGGGCCTTGGAGAAGAAAGCCAGATCTGCCTACAGCAGGTGAACTATTTGGGCTATCGGTTGGAGGGAGGGCAACGTTGGCTAACAGAAAGCAGGAAACAGGTGGTAGCCTCTATCCCCCCACCAACCTCAGCCAGAGGACTCAGAGAATTCTTGGGAAGTGCAGGATTCTGTAGATTATGGATACCAGGTTTTGCTGAAATAGCGGCTCCTCTATATCCTTTAACCTTTACTGGGACCCCTTTCGTCTGGACAGAAGAACACCAGAAAGCTTTTGACAAAATAAAAAGAGCACTGCTGACAGCTCCAACGTTAGGATTGCCAGATCTGGCAAAACCTTTCATCCTATATATAGATGAAAATAATGGGATGACAAAAGGAGTCCTTACTCAGACTCTGGGACCCTGGAAAAGGCCAGTGACTTATCTTCAGACTCTGGGACCCTGGAAAAGGCCAGTGGCTTATCTCTCAAAGAAACTGGACAATGTGGCTGCTGGCTGGCCCCCATGCTTGAGAATCATGGCAGCAATAGCATCCTTGGTAAAAGACTCAGACAAACTCACTATGGGTCAGCCCCTGACTGTTATAACACCACATGCAGTGGAGTCCATCATTAGACAACCTCCTGACAGATGGTTGTCAAATGCCAGGGTGACCCATTACCAGACACTACTACTAAATCCAGAAAAGATCAAGTTTGGTAGTCCCACCACCTTAAACCCTGCCACGCTGCTACCAGCCCCTGAAAAAGGCACTGAGATTCCCCATGACTGCCAGCAAATACTTGCGGAGGCACATGGGACTAGAGAAGACCTCACCGACCAGCCCCTAATAGATGCAGATGCCACCTGGTATACGGATGGGAGCAGCTTTCTGCAAGACGGTGAGCATAAAGCGGGGGCAGCGGTGGTTGATGGAAAAAAAAAAATAATCTGGGCCCAAGCCCTGCTGGCCAGAACATCAGCCCAACGGGCTGAATTAGAAGCCCTAACCCAGGCTCTAAGATTAGCAAAGGGTAAAAAGATTAATATTTACACTGACAGCCGCTATGCGTTTGCCACAGCTCACGTACATGGAGAAATTTATAGAAGGCGGGGGCTCCTTACCTCGGCAGGCAAGGACATTAAAAACATAGAGACGGCCGGGCGTGGTGGCGCACGCCTTTAATCCCAGCACTTGGGAGGCAGAGGCAGGTGGATCTTTGTGAGTTCGAGGCCAGCCTGGTCTACATAGTGAGTTCCAGGACAGCTGGGGCTACAAGGAGACACTGTCTCAAAACAGACAAAAAAAAAAAAAAAAACAAAGAGACGATAGTGGCCCTTCTGCAAGCCTTGTACTTGCCTAAAAAGGTCAGCATTATCCATTGCCCTGGACATCAGAGAGACCAGGGGCTGATTGCTCAAGGCAATCGAATTGCAGATGAAACTGCCCATCAGGCAGCAGAAGGTACCTGCCTTCTCTACACACACGCAGACCTTAAGGCTGAAATGGAAGCACAGGAGAAGGAAGCAGAAGTTCTTTTTACCTACACTGAACAGGACCTAGAGCTTGTACGAAAGCTCAATGCTACCTTGGACCCAGAATCTAAAATGTGGAAACACCAGGGTAGGGTAGTGCTTCCCAAAAAGGCAGCCCTTGAGCTAATCTCCCAGCTCCACCAGTGGACACACTTAGGACACAAAAAACTAAAAACACTATTGGAGAGAGAAGAACAATTCTATTATTTCCCGGACCTCAACCAGCTAGTCCAGAAGGTAGTGGGAGATTGTGTCTCATGTTCCCTGGTGAATGCTTCCAGATCAAAGGTCCCATCTGGCAAGAGGGAAAGAGGAATGTGACCAGGGACTAACTGGGAGGTAGATTTTACTGAGATACTCCCAGGAAAATATGGTTATAAATATCTCCTAGTGTTTATAGACACTTTCTCAGGATGGGTTGAAGCTTTCCCCACCCGGAAGGAAACAGCTCAGACTGTGGTGAAGAAACTGATTGAAGAAATCTTCCCTCGATTCGGACTGCCTAAGGTAATTGGCTCTGACAATGGCCCAGCCTTCGTCTCCCAGGTAAGTCAGGGAATGGCCAAAGCACTAAAGATTAATTAAAAATTACATTGTGCTTACAGACCCCAAAATTCAGGACAGGTAGAAAGGATGAATAGAACCATTAAAGGGACCTTAACTAAATTAGCTCTAGAGACTGGCACTAAAGACTGGGTGCAGCTCCTATCTCTAGCCTTATTTCGGGCTGGAAATACTCCTGCTATACATGGCCTAACCCCCTATGAAATCCTCTTTGGAGGACCGCCTCCTGTCCTCAATGTAACTTTGTCCCCCTTGCCCTCTTCTTTTGATAACCCCAGCCTGAAAACAAGACTTCAAGCCCTCCAGATCATCCAGAACCAGGTTTGGAGGACTTTGGCTGCTGTCTACCAGCCTGGGAGTCCACAAATGCTCCACTCCTACCAAATTGGAGATCAGGTGTACATGAGAAGACACAACGTAAAGACTCTTGAACCACGGTGGAAAGGACTCTACATGGTTCTTCTGACTACACCCACGGCCCTCAAGGTAGACGGGATTTCGGCTTGGATCCACGCTTCCCATGCCAAAAGAGCCCCGACTCAAGAGGACACTGGAAAACATCCAACCCCCTAAAAATAAGACTCTCCAGAGATATTTAATAATTCTTCTTGTTTGTAGGTTTGCCCTCAGTCAAGGGAGTCCCCATCTCCCTGTGCTGACTACCTGGTGGGTAATTAATCAAAGGGGTATTGTAGTGTTTGAAACCCACAAGATGACACCCAAGGGTACTTGGTGGCTTATACTGTATCCAGATTTGTGTAAATTAGCCTTAGGAGCACCAACGCCCTGGGACATATCAAACTTCATGGATCCTGATAAAGTACCCGGTCCAGCAAGTTACCCCCTGTTTGCAGGACCCCACTTAACAGGGGGAGGATGTCATGAACAAGCAAGGATCTTGTTACATCAACATACCTTCTATGTTTGCCCAGGTAACCATCGTGCTAAGTGGCTTAATTCCAAATGTGGAGAAAGAGATTATTTTTACTGTAAAAATTGGGGATGCGAAACAACCGGGGATTCCTGGTGGTCTCCATCCTCATCTTGGGATTATATTATTGTAAAAGCAAATTATTCTCATAAGAACCCAAATGCTCAAGACTGTCAAGGTAAATGGTGCCACCCCCTTCGGATAGAATTTACAACAGCAGGAAAAAAGGCCATAAGTTGGGACAAAGGATATTCTTGGGGAATTAGGCTCTATAAGGAGGGGACAGATTCTGGTCTCTTATTTACTATTAAAAGAGATATCTCCTCCTATCCAGTAGCTATAGGCCCCAATCCTATCTTACCTATCCAAAATCCCATTCCCAGCTACCCAAATCCCCTGCCAGCTTTCACTTCACTACACCTCACTTCACAGCACCTCCCTAACCCTTTTTCTGATACTTCCCCTGCAAATATCTTGTTAAAACAGACTTCCAGCCCCCCGAGACCAAAGGTTTCACCCACAGGGGACCAACTGTTCAATTTGATCCAAGGAGCACAGACAGACCCCAACCTGACTGAATCCTGTTAACTATGTTTAGCAGCAGCACCCCCTTATTACGAGGGCATCGCTACCCAAGGGACATTCAGTAACACCACTTTAGCTGACCAATGTCATAGGGAGACCCCTCACCCCCTAACTCTCACGGAAGTCTCGGGATCTGGGCTCTGCTTAGGAAACCCACCTCCAACTCATGCCTGCCTTTGCAACTCCGCTATTTCTATACCCCCAGGAAATGGAAATTACTATCTCCTACCTCCGCAAGGGGCTTAGTGGGCATGTAACTTTGGGTTAACTCCCTGTGTAGCTAGCATGGTCCTCAAAACTTCTCAAGACTACTGTGTTATGATTAAGCTTCTACCCCGAGTATTCTACCACCCTGCAAATTCCATAGAACAGTTTTTTGAGCAACACCCAGGCAGATATAAAAGAGAACCTATATCCCTGACCCTGGCAATACTTCTAGGAGCAGGAGTGGCAGCAGGAGTAGGAACTGGAACAGCAGCCCTAATACAAGGACCACAATATTATGCAGACTTACAGATGGCAGTTGATGAAGACATTAGGGCAATAGAACAGTCAATTACCCACTTAGAAAAATTTCTAACTTCCCTCTCAGAAGTAGTTTTACAAAATAGAAGGGGGCTAGATCTGCTTTTCCTTAAGGAAGGAGGGCTCTGCGCGGCTCTAGGTGAAGAATGTTGTTTTTATGCTGACAACTCGGGGGTCATTACAGATTCTATGACTAAGCTCTGCGAAAGGTTAGATAAAAGACAAAAAGACCGTGAATCCAAACAGGGATGGTTTGAAGGATGGTTTAATAATAAAATCCCCTGGTTAACTACTCTAGTGTCCACTATAGTAGGCCCCCTAATTATTCTTCTCCTTCTCTTAACCTTCAGGCCATGCATCCTCAACAGATTGCTACAGTTTATTAGGGACCGAATATCAGTAACTCAAGCTTTGGTCCTTACTCAACAATACCATGCCCTAAAAAGAACAGAAAACTTATAGATTTTAGGATTAAAATCTTACTATAAGAAAAGGAGGGAATGATGGAATCAAACTAAAGCCCCGAGTCCCCCAGACCAAAGTAAAGAAAAATATTCTGGGAAGCTGTACAAGGAAGTAAGATGTAAAATAATTCTAAACTGCTGAGAAAGAAACTGACCTTTTCATGCTCTCTGCACCGGTTGCTGAAAATCATCCAAATTCCCCCTCCCACCTCTGCTTCTTGGCTCAGTAATCACTTATGATTTATGGTTTTTGCCTTTTAAAAGAAGCTTGTAATCTGTGCTCAGAGCTTCTGCTCTCTGAGCTAGAGGTCCGTCTGCGCATACGTAATAAATCCTCTTGTTTATTGCATCTTCTGGTCTGAGGACTGAGTTATTGGGGTGCGACCTCCCGTGAACGTTGAGTACCCCAGGACTGGGGGTCCAACAGTAGGTGTCCTGGTTTGTTTCTTCATTGCTGTGACAAAACACTCTGACCACTACCAACTTGGGGAGGAAAGGGTTTATTTATCTTACATCTCCTGGGTCACAGTTCATCAGGGAGCCCAAGGTAGGAACTCAGGGCAGGAACCTGGAGGTAGGAGCTGGAGCACAGTCCACAGAGGAACGCTGCTTACTGGCTTGCTCCCCTGGCCCCTGCTCAGCCTGCTTTCTTATGCAACACAGGCCCACCTGCCCAGTGGTGGCACCACCCACAGTGGGCTGGGCCCTCCCACATCACTCATCAAGAAGATGTCCTTCAGACATGGCCACAGGCCAGTTCAATAGAGGCAATTCCCCGATTGAGGCTCCCTCAACACAGGTGTGTCAAGTTGACACTAAAGCTATGCAGCATAGTAGGTCTTTCCATCTCCTAGTGTCTTTGATTTGGCCTCTGATGAGGCAGGGTTTTTTTTTTGTTTGTTTGTTTAGGTCTTTTTGTAGCAGTGTGTCCCTGTGGCCCCAGCTGTCCTGGAACTCAGTATGTAGACCAGGCTGGCCTTGAACTCACAGAGATCCACCTGCCTCTGGCTCCCAAGTGCTGGGACTACAGGCGTGTACCACCACGCCCGGCTAAATGAGGCAGTTTTTAAGGGAACAAATTAATTATTTCTACAATTTCAAAGAAAACTAGTAGCTTCATTGATAGGCCATCAGGTTTGTCTTCTGTTAAATGTTTTAATCCATATTTTGAATCTATAACAGTTATGAAGTGATCAAGATAAGTATCACTCCCTAATTCAGCATCAAGCCAAAATATAGAAGCCACAGCACCAGGATCTGCTAATCCAGTGGTCTCTAAAAGTATGTAATTAAACTTCCCTTTCTTCTGCATCAAATTCTCAATAGCTCTAAAGGCATTGTCCTTCACTGAACAGCAGAGGCTCTCCATCTTGACTAACAGCTAAGGATTTCTCTACTGCACTCCCTTCTCCAAATTCATTTAAAGTAACTGCTATTCTTTTACTATGTTGCTCTGTCAAAATGTAGTTCAGAAGTGTCTTTCCAGCACTTAAATACCCTGTGATAATTTTGACTGGGATCCCAACGCCCAGGTCAAGCTTTTCCTCCTCTCCTTGCTTGGTCTCAATGGAAACCACATCCCCTCAGCGAAAAAGCCATGACCAGTTTACCCCACTTTCCCTAGAGAGACCCAGTCCACCTGGCACCACACAGTTGACATCATCACCAAATTATATATCTTAACTATGTAAAGAATGGAATCTACCTGTGGGTGGAGACACTCCCTTGTCTCCTCTCTTAAGGATTAATCCAGTGGGACAGGTCAGAGCCATGGCTAGAACACCCAGAGGAAGGTGAGTTCACCCTAAGATGCGCTTTGGGGAGCTTCAGAGATGGATCAGTGGTTAAGAGTACTGGCTGCTCTTGCAGAGGACCTGGGTTTGATTCCCAGGACCCACACAGCTGCTACAACCATTCCTAACTCCAGTTCCAGGGAATCAGACGCCCTCTTCTGACCTCCATGGGCATTGCATGACATGGGTGCACTTACACACATGCAGGCAATACACTCATACACATAAAATAAAAATAAAAAATAGCTGGGAATGGGGGCCCACACCTTTCATCCCAGCACCCAGGAGGTAGAGAGGCAGGCAGATCTCTGTGAGATCCAGGCAACCTGGTCTACATACCAATTTCCAGGCCAGATGGGGCTACAGGGAAGCCCTGTCTCAAAAAAAAGGCCCCGACAAAAGAAAAACTTTTAAAGATAATGTGCTTTTCTTTTCCAGAATTCCCACTTCCCAGTCCCATCTGGGTCTGTCCACCTTCCTGAACTCAGAAAGGCATAACTGTTTGTCTTTTTTCTTTTTTTCTTTTTCTTTTTATTTTATTTTATTTTATTGTATCTATTTTTTGTGTGTGTGTCTTCTGCACAAAAATGCCTGGCCAGCTCTCCAAGCCTGCACTACTATCCTCAGGCCTCTTGGGGTAAGTCTATAGCGCAGCTCTCGGCGCAGGGACTCCCTTAGCCACATTCACCCTTCCATCCCCCCCCTCGCCGTTCTATACTCCTAGTTTGAGCCCTGCGCCACCCCTAGTCTTGGGGCCCCAGACACCTGGGGAACCAATACTGCTTCCTGACCCTTCGCACCCAGAGCAACTCACTCCCTTTCTTGGGCTCCAGGAGCACTGCTTCTGGTCCTGGCCCTGCCCTCATCTCCCTCTACTTCCCTGGTCCTGCAACACCCGACAGCCTCTTTCTGGGGCTGACAGCCTCTTACTGGGGGCTCCGAGGCTTACCTTTACTCTCCCTGATCCTTTGCATACAGTACAACCCAGCTACTCAATCCACTCCCTGGGAAATCTTGGGGCTTCTTCCCTCCCCATCTGCTTTTGCATCCCTGCATGGCGTGGCCACGGCGAGGGTCTCAGGTCAGTGCCACCCAAGTTCCTGAGGCCAAAAGCATTCGTAGAAGATTCCAGACCTAAGGAGAAAG